ATCCTGCGACACACTTAGGCTCAAACTGTAAGAGAAAATTCCAATTAGTAGAGAAATAAATTTGAAAAATTACCTTGACGTTTCGATAGCTATTTTCTGCTATCGTTGTCCAAAGAACCTAAATGAACCTAAAAAAAGTATGTTAATAAATTGTGTAACAATATTAGGATAATACAATATATGAAAATTCGCTCTGATAATTCAATATCTCAATTTACACAGACGAATTATCAGAACGAATTTTCATATATTGTATTATCCTACTATTGCTACACAATTTATTAACATACTCTTTTTTAGGTTCATTTAGGTTCTTTTGATAAGGATAGCAGAAAATAGCTATCGAAACGTCAAGGCAATTTTTCAAATTAATTTCTCTACTAATTGGAATGTTCTCTTACAGCTTGAGCCTAAGTGTGTCGCAGGATGCCCTCTAGGTGATAGTTCGTGATTACTTTTTGATAAATAATTCGTTCTTATTGCAAAATAGGAGCACTATTTATCAATCTGTAATAAAAGACGTGAGGAAATTCTGTCGTTTTTAAAGACAAAAATTTTTGAGGCGAAATACCCAAAAAGAAGTTTGTAAAAAAAGAGAATGAAGGTAGAAAAAAGCCACTGTAGACGATTTCAAGTAGCAATTTACCGTTTTGAAACGCTCCAGTTAACGTTTTCTTGGACGATTATTCACTCAATTGCTGGACCTCCAAGATCTCCCGATCACACATATGGAGTTTGCCCCCAGCTGTTTTAAGCATCAGAGACAACATGAGTCTTTCCAAAATACGAAAGTCATATGGGTTGAACTGAAGGATTTTTAGTACATAGTCTGGCAGTTGCACCAATTTGGAGGAAAACAGTATCAAAGAAAATTGAAATGTTTGCTTTTACAATTCTCCAACCCTCAAAGGCTCAAAAGATGCCCCTGATGTCCCTGAAATTATTTTGAAAAATATTCAAGACACAGTTGAGTATTTTTAGGCTGTGGATGAACCGACCGTAAAACTACACAGAAAAACTTAAAACTCGACTTGCCAAAACTCTGTAAACTTGCAAGAAACTGCTTCAAATTTGCACGCAAATAATTCAGACGAGCAAAGTGATATTTTCGCTCCAATCAATGGAACAGTTTGGGTTGATGGGGTCGAGCTTATCAAAATAGAGCCGATAGTGTTGAAAGCCCAAATAGAAAGTATCAACTGTAAATTCCATGCTCAATTTCAATGTTGCTGTCAGTTAGTTTTCCGAGTTTAACTGGAACGCTCGCAATCCACAATAAACCCGAATCTAGATAATGGAACAGGAGGGATGTAATAAATCAGCCTCGACCCTCCTGCGATACGAGAAACCGTTCGGAGTATCTTGCGTTGTCAATCAGAAAGCCAGCTATTCGATATGCACATTTGTATGTACAGTGTAATTGAGATTTTCTTTGTAGACATGTCAGACGCAAGGCATTGTCTAGAGCAAAATTGGGTTACAATTCGTATTATCTATGTAGATTGAATGGAGAAGTTGCGGCTGGATCGAGCTTGTTTTTGATAGCGGTGTATTTTGTTTTGTGTTGAATTCAAGTTGAGTTCTAAAGGGTTTTGTAGTGGCGTTTTTTCAGAAACACAGTCTGGTTTAGGTGGAATCAAGTGCTATTTTTTTTTGTAACAGGAACAAGGAACGTTTTCTCAAATTTGCATTGTCTCTTTTAAAAAGCGGTTACTTTATCTGCAGACGAGAATTAGTTTTGGAACTGATGAAAATTTCATTGAAATCGAACCAACTGCTGATTTTTACCGATCAGGCCAATGCTGACCAAACACTGAACCTTTTCAAACTATTACACGCCCTGTTTTAAAGATCATGCTTCCACTTAAAGTTCGACGGGAATGTGAACTTTTCACTATCTGCACACGAGAATTGATTGGAAATGTCCTGAAAATTTAATTGAAATTGCACCAAATCCTGAACTTTGCCAATTGAGGCAATCGTGGGTAAAAAATGAAAGTTTTTACACAATTACTCACCCTGATTTAGCAAATTTCAACCTCCAAAGCAGTGTTCGGTAGCAACGCAATTTTCATCTTCAGAAGACGATAATTTTATATAAATGTCCTGAAAATTGGGTTGAAATTGAGCCTAATCCTGAGCTTTGGTGATCGAGTAAATGTTGGCTAACACTAAACGTTTTCGCACAATTACACGTCTCCTTTTTAAAAAATGCAGTCGGCAGAAAAAGCGATGTTGAATGAAGCTTTTTTGATTGATGATTCTGATTTTGGCTAAAATATGAACGTTCTCGTGTGGAAACAGGGCGCGTAATTG